GACTGGATACGAAGCGTAGCTTGGAACACAGTGGACAAAACAGAGATGCACGCCGATCCAGAGATCGGAAGGAGTGAGGGTGGGATTGGCAAGGCTGACGCGCTTGCAGAGGTAGAAGGTCGCAGATTCTGAGCAGAGAGATGGATCAAAGGATGTTTGCTATTCTGAGTGTCCGTTTATAGTGTTCGACTGTCGGCTGTACAAGGGAAAGAATAAAATGCGCGATGCGTCAAACGTCCGATGCGATGGTCCGCTGCCTTATGGATTTGTTGCTGAGTCGTTGGAGAGGAAGGAAAGAAAGGGAAGAAGATGTGCCTGGCTCTGCAAATGCGTCAGTGTGTGTGTGTGTGTGCGAGGGTGGGCAGGATAGGTTGAAGGTCTGTGATTTTATAAGAGTGGACGTCAGTAAGGGTATGCGTTTGGGTTCAGAGCAAAAGCAAGGGGAGGAAGTAGAGAATCAAATGGGAGTGGGATCGATTGGGTTGTGTGCTGTATTTGCTGAGAGGAGGGAGTACCGAGGACGAGGAACGTGAATTGAAAGGACAGAGTAGTTAAAAGTGAGAGTAGTGAAGTAGTGGAGGCTGGGTTTTCTTTTTCCGAAGTATATTACCAAATTGGAAGCGAAAGTGGAAATGGAAGTGGTTGAAGTGGGAGTGGGGAGGCGATGTGATGTGTGTCAGGTTGTGTGTGGCAGATATCTAAGAGCCGGTAGAATGGGCGAGGGGAAGGGGAACAAAAGAGGTGTGAGTGAGTGTGTGCCTGTGGACTGGATGAGAGAGCAAAGCGGGGAAGGGGAGGGGAAGTAAAAAAGAGGGGAGAACAAAGGACACACACGAAAAGAAACAGAGGATGAACGTACAGTACTGCAGGGGAAGGGGGGAAGGGAGGAACGGGGGAGGAGGAGGGGAGCGAGAGTGAGAGAGAGGGAAGAAATGAAAGAGGCAAGGAAAGGTCAAAAATAAAAACAAACACAAAAAACAGGCACTGAACCTGGATTTGGACCTGGATTGAACCTGGCCCTGAACCTGGACCTGAACCTGAACTAGACCATGTTTACGTGGTGTTTAGCATTGTCCACACGCAAATACACAGACACGGATATCATATCATATCGTATTATATCATCTCATAGCATCTCTTTTCTAGTCACCATGGGCCGATCTCCAAAACAACACGAAAAAGAGACATGGTGCTGCAATTGACACCGACCTCTGACTAGTACAGTCAATGCTCTCCGATATCCCCATTTCATTTCAGGGCAGAAGTATTCCCCTCTTCCTTCTCAAACGATCATCAGTGTTCTTGCCTAATGCATATGTACTTTTGATCACAGAAAACAGTAAACGACGCGGTTACTTGCTGCATATATACATTGTATGTTTATGTATTTGTATCGTTTTTGTTCGCGTTTATGAAGACGTGTATGGTCTTGGGGACAAGGAGTAGGGGACATCCGCGGAACGCGTTCGTACCTCCTGGTAACCACATCGCTCTGGACACTGCAGCTAAAGAAAACGTAATCATCGAATCAACAACTCCACTCTCCCAGAAGATTCCCTTGTTTTATTTTCTCACTCAGCTGCGGTAGTCGTAGGAATCTGTCAAAAAAAAATGCATCGCTATCCCTTCTTGGCCTCTGCTGCAGACCTCCAATGTGCGAAATGGCCAAACCCAGTTCAGTCTTTCTGCGGGAAACAATGGCTTCGTCGCTGCATCGCAGCTTCAGGCAGTGTCTGAGTCCATAGATAGATAGCATAGCCTACCCAATTTGACTGCAGCATGCACAATGTATGCACCCGCTAGGTGCAGGGCAGCCAAGACAAAAAGTCTTGCTTATGTACGGGAATTGTGCAGAGTGAACAGCTCCTGTCCATTCATGCTAATACGCGATTGTTTGATCCGCCAGGAACAGGTGCGGATAGGACAACAGCAGTACAAAGAAGGATGCGATTGGTTGAGCATCAATCAAGCTGTGGTCGTTGCACCCTATTCTTCCAAGCACAACCTTCAACAACACTCGAGCCATATTCACATAGAATGTAGTTTGTCTGTAATAAACGCCTTGATAAACTATGTGCGCCTCATTCAATAAATAATTGAGCGGAACTTTCTTACAAATTACCAACACGCATGTACCACTGCTCAATCGTGAGGATAGAAGTGCGCCTATTCAGATTTTCAGAATGTGCATGGCCAACGTTGTGCACAAGACGCAATCTCGGTTGTGGCCAATGGTTACATTTGAGCACAACAGACGCCAAATCTTTGTGCCCGGCAGGATGTACGCGATCTGGAAGATAAATAAATAAAATGATGACAGGTAGTGCTTATCAGCACCTTCGACTCTGTTGTCTCCTCCGATTGCGCCGTCCTTTTCTATGTAGCGTTTCCGTAGTTAAGTTCGCTCACTTACAGACTGCGAGTACGTTTGATGTCTGTCGCTAAGGCACGAATGCTCACAAAACGTAGGGATTTGACAAGCCGCTTGCCGGTTAACCTAGGCACCAACATGAGACGAAACCAGCGAGAGGCGTAACAATGTGAGAGCCTTTTGTTCTTTTATTTTATTTTTTTATCTCATACAAGTTTCTATAAACTTAACAGACAGAACGATCCTGTCTTGCTGCACTATAGGGGCTCGGTCTTAGGCATAATAAGAAGAGCCGTATGGCCGGATATTTGTACATAATCATTCGTGAGTATCCATTGCACATGCAGCAAGCAAATTCTTCCATTTAGTACTTTCTAGTTCTTGCCATGCCTAGGTACTAGAAAGGCTACGCGCGCGGCACACCGATCTACAAACGTGGATGATAACGAAAAGAAAAATGAAAAAGAAAAAAGAGAAGAAAGAAGATAGAACACTTCTATAATTCTCGCAACATGCAAGTATTCGTAGGATTTTTTCCTTTTCCTTTTCCTTTTTTTTTTTTCTCGTTTTTTTAGTCCGTCAGGTTAAAATTTGACAAAGAAAAAACAAATATGCTGTGCCCAAATCTCCGGCATTGCGATCACCTCTTTTTCATCCTCTGCTCCTCCGCCATCCTTACACTTCTCTGTGTTCCTGCACCTGAGTAGTTGGGCTACTCGCTCTTACCGTTATTGGTTTGTACGAGGCGATCAACTCCATAGCCGCTGGTTACAGTAAAAGCAACATCAACAAAGGGATCAAACGATCCTTCCTTCTCCTCTCACTCGCCTCCCATCTCTCAATCTACGCCATCTAAATTCCCTCGCCGAACGACCCGCCACCTGGCACGGAAACCAGAATCATACCGCGACTTTCGGGTTGCGGATAAAAAAAATAAAAAATAAAAAAGGCAGACGACTGAACAGTTCATTTCGCAAAAGTCGGTGGCACTGGAGTGCCATCACTTTTGTTGGTCCTCGTAGACAAATATCGACCATGCAGCTCTCCTCCGCCCCCTTGCTATTCCCGGCGCTGTTGTTTTTCTGACAGCAAAAAAAAATCCCGCATTCCGAATCACTGCACAGCAAATCAGAGGGCTCCTTGACCTCAGAAAAAAGAAGCAATGTATCCTGATACCTTATAAACTCCTCGGATGCTGATGTTATGTCTTTTGTTTGCCCCGCAGGGAGTGTCGTGTCGTCGTGTCGTCGTTCTGTTTTTGGCACAAGAGCTTCGTTTTCGCATTTACTATACCGTATCATTTTTCTTTTCTTTTCTTCTTGAAATGGCCTGCTCAGCGATGACTGGAACAAATTACGGCTCCTTTCTGCAGGAAAATATCTTTAAGTCCATCATCCCTCTCATGCTTCACATCCAACGAGACATACAGCTATCATGAGGCGTATGCTATTGGAACGCGCAGATTTCGGTCCCATCTTTTATTCATTATGTTAGTGCCCTGACAACCCCAGATTTGTGCAAAGGAAGACAGCGGTCACCTTGAGAGATACATCATCTACCAGACACATGCACATGCATGCATCTCTAGTTTTTTTTTTTTATTGTTATTATTATTTGTTTCTCGGCGTCGGGTCCTGGACTCTTTTTTTTTATTTTGTCGTTGTTGTTGTTTTCCTATCCAGTCGCTCTACTGCCGCTGGCTCTGCTGCCGCTGCTGCGACAACCCCCACCCCATCCGTTATCGAGCCACGCCCATCATGGGAGCGCTCTGGCTACTACTATTACACTCGTCCGTGCTAGTAATACTACTGCGACCATTATCATTACCGCTGACACTACCGCCGCCATTGATACTACTGCTATTACTACCATGGGTATTGTGACTAATGATATGAGTGCCACTAGTGTTCCTAGGGCCCTCATCTCTAATGCTGATATTGCTAATACTACTGCTGTGATCATCGTTGGGAGTGTTCCCATGCAAAGGCATAGACAGGTGTAACGTCGGCATCGAGGATCGTCTACCGCGACCCGCTCCCGACGCGTCATCTTCCAGCCAGGAGAGCTGTCCAGCTTCCTGCTGCAGTTGTGTTGCTATTGAGAATGGGCTCTGAGGAAGCTGGTTGTAAAATTGTAATTGCTGCTGCTGCTGCTGCTGCTGCTGCTGTTGTTGTTGTTGTTGTTGTTGTTGTTGTTGTTGTTGTTGTTGCTGCTGCTGCTGTTGCTGCTGTTGTTGTTGTTGCTGCTGCATAGGCTGTTGTTGATGATATAAGTTGGCATAAGGATAGTGATGCAATTGATGCTGGAGAGGGTTTATCCGGCCATGTGCATGGACCTGGGCCACGTTTTGGACTGGAGAGGGTGCGGAAGACGAAGAGTGCGAACTGAGATGATGTTGTTGATGTTGTTGCGTAACAGTAAAATTAGGGTGTTGGTGGAACCGTGTGCCGCTCCTTTGCTGGGATGCAAGATCAGCGTCGAGCTGCATTCCCAGCGGGGCTGTCTGTGATCCCGCCGTGGGGTTGAGCAATGGAATCCCGCTGTAGTTTGGCTGGATGCCAATAAAGCTGCTTGCAGGGTTCGTTAAAGAGTGGTGAGGCCGCTGCTGCTGCAGCAGCTGCTGATGTTGTCCTTGTTGTTGTTGTTGTTGCTGTTGCGGGGCAGATGGTGTGACACCTAAAGGCTGAGGCGAGATGTAGGCCGAGCTTTGCTGAGGAGAGATTAAAAGTGATCCATTGGTGGTCACTATTGGCATGGGGCCAGAAAGACAAGAGGACCATATCAGAAGGTCTTCTTTGCGACATGCCGCAATATTCTCTCCCGCCATTTCAGACATCCATGCGCAACTTACAGTGAGGGGGCGATAAAGATGTGGGAGGGCAAAATGCTGCTGGGGGCGTTGTAGAGGCGTCAGAGGAGTAGTTCATCCATGATAGTCCGTTCTGCTGAGCTCTACTAACTTGTCCATTCAATTCTATAAGCGACTGCTGCTGTTGCTGTTGCTGTTGCTGTTGATTTGGTTGTTGCTGATGCTCTTGGGTTAACTTTCCAGGCTGGAGAGCTGCCTGCAAGAGTGCACCCTGCTGCTTCGTCTGTTGACTCATCTTGAAGGCCATTTTGCCTTTAACACTACTGCCCTTGCTATATATGGATGATCGCGGGTGATACTTAATCTTATTCATCATGGCCGTATCGCGTTCCCCATTCAGGCCTGGGAACGTAGCTAGGTTCATCAGTCGCATCGAAATCTCTTTACTAAGCGCCACGTCGGTTCCATGAATGCCCCTGGACTTCGGCCCATGTGCACCGAGATTTTCCCCCGTCAGAGCCATCACTGCCGAGTCCGGCAGTCTGGTCAGTGGTGTCGTCACTGCTCCTCCTACTGATATTGTGTCTTGAAGGGGTCCGTTGGAATTTTCGTGGGTGCCTGCAGCAGCCATACTTTTGGATCCGTTCAGCTTCTCATCCAGTTCCACCACCAGATTACAGAGCTGCTGGTTCTCGGCTCGAACCAAAGCCATGATCCTGTAGACCTCGTCCAGTTCCTCGGCCTTGCTCTCGAGCCATTTGATATACTTCTGCTTCCGTTGCCGGAACGCCCGTTGTGCTGCGCGGTTCTGCTCTGCCCTCCGGATCACCACATCCTCGGGCAATTCGCTAATGGTATCGGTCGACCCTGACGAGGTCGTGCCAAGAGTGGAAGAAGAAGAAGAAGGGGATGGGGTACTGGCATTTGTAGACAGTAGTGGTGGCTGTTGCTGAAACTGTTGCTGTTGAGGACTGAGTATTGACTGACTTTTTGCCTTTTGATGTTGCTGCATGGTCGCAGCAATCTGAAAAGGCCCCTCGCTTTGTCCAGATGGCGCAATTGAAAGGTTTAACATTGCTGAGGATGGTGTACCCTCTGTTTCCTGGCTCGATGTGCGACTATTTGACCCGTCCCTGCCTCGTCCTGCAGACACCAGGGGTTTTGAGAAACTGTCCGGGAGGGCTGACCCCACAGGAGTGAGGTAAGAATCGATAGGAGACTTAAGCATGCTGAGCGAAGATACTTTCGTTGTGGTAAGTTGGTGCTGTTGCTGCTGCTGCTGTTGCTGGTGAAGAGGCAACGATTGCAAAACGCTGGCTACCGGGCGGTCGGATCCCGTGGTTCCCCCATGATATAGTTGCTGCTGCTGGTCGCGATATTTCGATTGCTCTATAGGTGCGCCTTCTCCTTGCACACGACCGAATGAGTTAGTGTCGAAGTCCTCGAGTTTGACAGGATGATACTTCGAGTCATGCTCCATGAACAGGTCGCCGCCGTCCCTGAGTAGAACTAGAAATTGCGTAGTATGAAATGAGGACAAGGTTTTCGTGTTCAGTTGCCATGCAATTGAGTTTGACGCCAAAGCACTGAAATTAAGAGCACCTTGATGAGAGCACCTTGTGTACCCAGACACTGGATAAAGGGGATTTGTTCTCCATACTGTACCTTGGGCATTCGGGTTCGCAGAGTCCAGCTTGGGAAAGTACCGGCCTTCCTCGAATACGTAGAATTGTTTCTGCTGATCGTCTAGCGAGTAACCGATGTTTGTTGACATTTCTTGGTTGTGGATGGAGTTTTCCATCGATCCTGTTGTTGGATTATAGATGTATATAATCTATAATATGTCTGATTTAATTGCTTCTTTTTTTTTTTGGAGGAGGAGAGAGGAAGAAATAAGTTGAATAAGTAAGACAAGAAGAGAATATTGAAAAGAAAGAAAGGAAGAGAAGAGCAGAGGGCGCCCCTTTTACGAGGCGATGTGCTCAATTGTCTGTTTGTCCGTTTGTAGACAAAAAAAGGTCGATCCCAAACGTTATTTTAACGGACGTAATTGTTACCAGTTACGTAGTAAGGGCAGGGGTAAACTTCATAAGGCGAACGCGTCCAGAGGAGGCCCGATGGTAGCACAAAGCAAAGCTCTGATGCTAGGATGACGTGCCAACAAACAGACGCGTCGTCAGGATGGCAGCTTGCTTTCTAAGGCGTATGTGTGTATGCATGGTGGAGATGGAAATGAGGGAACACACGTGTTGTTGTTTGTCAGGGCAAGCGGGATATATTTCTTAAGGAGGGGTCTGGACAAAGGAGTGAGAAATGCTGTGTTTACATCCTGCAATGTGGGGATGAAGATTTTCATTCCATCATAATCAAGGAACCAAAACTGTGGAAGGTTTGGCCCGCATCGTCATCGCAGACGGATCGCCCCTTCCTCCCCACGCGCCAGCTCTTTTTTTTTTTTTTTTTTCTTTCGGCGTGTAACTCGTCGCAACAACGCTTCGAAAGCACTGGTCTAAATCCTTCTCGTCGAGACCTCTTTCGCACGCTCATCATTGGTCAAAGTGAGCACATTGGTAGACACTGCACTCAGAAAAAGTAAAAGGAATAAATGTTGCGTTTACCCGCTTTACTTGATACAGCCCCAATAACCAACTTTTTTTTTTTTTTTTTTTTTTTAAGGATGATTTCGCCACTGGATAACAACCTGGGAAAATAGGAAGCTATGACCCGCTGTTTATTCCAGGGGGTACTCCACAAAATAGGGAAAAAAAGGGTCTGCGGGAAGAGACAAAATAACATTGCTCACTGGCAACATGGAGGATAGCATACGGCCCATCAATGAGCGGAAAGGCCATGACCCTTCACGGCAGCATAGTAATAGATAAAAAATAAAAAGATGATGCATGGGTGGAAGATTCGGATCATGATAGGATATTACGACGGAAAGAATTTAAAAAAACTGCATCAGTGAAGCTGGTCGGTGAAGCGGACCAAGCTTTCGTGAGCAGATCGGGCATCCTAATTCTCAGATCTGATGAACCTCATAGGCGAATATCAAAGCGTATATAATAAAAATAGAATAGCAGTAAAAAAAAATTATGAAGATAGTCTTACAAGGGGCGAATTGTATGGTTAATGTTCGATGGAGGCCAGATGTACGATGAAAGGGCACCAAATATCAGGTATATTTGCTGTCGCTGTGCTTTTGACCTCTTACAGGGACAAAATAAAGACGAGTAATCGAACAAAAACTCACAGACAAGACGCCGTCTTTGCATTGCATCCTCAACGGTTGCGAGTGCTTGTGTGGAGGTCTGAAGAGGTGTAGAGGCCTTCAATGGTTGAAAGCGTAGCCGGGAGCCGAGCCGTGAGATTGTGGGGCAGAGATTGACAAAGGGTAAGAGAGAGATGTTGCGTGAGAGTTATGTGGTACGTGGGGAGTACATTGCCGAAATTGCTTTAGTGGATTTAAAGAAGGCGGGACGAGAGAAAGAGATTGAGATAGACATGCGAGAGTCCAACAACATGGTCCCGACAAAAAAGCCAAAGAGAAAGAGAAAGAGAACACTGACGAGGCGGGAAAACACGATTGTCCGAATCCAAAATACAGCTTTCTATACGATTAAAATCTGAGCAATAGAGGTAAATAAACATGAAAAAAAGGAGGTTTAATAGGAAGGGCGTGCAGGGAGAATATCCCCTGGGGAGGCAAATAACTGCGTGTGGCATATTCCCTATTTCTTAAGCCACCGAGCAATAAGTAGACTAATCGCTCAGTCGCTGTAATTAAAGATCTCTCTCTTGTTCTCATTGACTCTGGACTACAGCTATATCTTTCAATGCAAAACATCTTGATACAATACACCGTGTGATTTAAAACTCGATCGAGGATCCGAAAGCCATAGAGCGCGGAAGCCCCCAAGATCCGGCAGTCAAAAAGACGAATGGTAGCAGCGCAGCGCAGAAGCGAGATCGAGTGAACTCGTGTTGTCGTTAATAATATTAACAAAAAAAAGTATAGCGCGACGCGGATATCAAAGATTTTGTAAAAACGTTCAAGTGACTAGTGACTACGCTTACTCCCTGAGTCCTAATTGGTTCGCAGGTTTCGATGTTTAACTCCTTCAGGTGAGGTCACTCCCGAGCAGTTCGAACCTTAAGGCGATGTCGAAGCAGAATACAGAACGTGTATAAACTATACCACCCTTCGGGGGCCTTCCATCAAATGCTGGGATAGGAGGTTCAGGGAGGGTAGAACAAACAAATACATGACAGTGATAGTCCGCGACAACGCAAAACGAGAGGGACAAAATCTTTTATCACAAAGTTGCCGAGATACAGGTTTGAGAGAAGAAAGGATGTTGACAGGCGCTGAAACGCAGGCCATGAACATGTAGCCTGGACAACGGCTATAAAGTAATGAAAAACGAGTACCACCACCTATAATTATCACAGAGGAGTAATGACTGCACGCTTATCATACACGCCTCTCATGCTTGATATCTTTTCCGCGAGAAAAGCGACTTTTCGAAATTTCGGTGCAAGAATTTACAAGAACCACATGCACTACATAGTCTGATGACACTTCGAGATGTCGGAGCAAACTATTTCGACTTGGAATCAGTATCCCTTCGTCTGTTTCCGGAACGCTGGTGTTCCGAATTTTACATGTATTTTGCGTAATTTTTTCTATGATATTGTATTTAAAAGTTTTTTTATGCTACCGCTTTCCATGCCCTTGATACAAATTGAAGGGTAGTTTGTGCCTTGATTCATGCCTTTACATTCCAGATCCGTGACACTTCAATAGCGAATATTGGCAAGCAAAGCCGTCCCCTCTAAAATGATATTTCGCACCAAATTAATGTAAAAACTAAAATTCCCCTGACTCAAAATTTCCTGACAGGCGAAGGGATTATCCCGTAGTCGTTCCAAGAGAAAAATTTCTTGGTTACACGGCACCATGACCATGACCATCAAAGCGCTCTTTCTCCTCCGAACACTTTGTCTCCAGTGCATTCACTTACTTCAGTAAGCGTGAGGGGACGAAATTGACTCCCACGCTTCTAACTCTTAAAACTTTATATTTCTATTAACTTTAACAATTGGCCTAAGCAGGAAGTGTATGAACAATGGTGCCTTGCTTATTAAAAGTACTATTGGTTCCTGAACCTACCATCACTCGATGCCAGTTCACTATCTTAAACTTGGTGCTTCTGAGAAAGATAACCTCTAGTATATGATGTGCGATTTAAACATGGTCTTCACAGATTACAGTGTTCGTCAAAAGTTCTATGGCCTTCCATGGTTTATGTTGTTTAGCGCCGCATATTTTCACAAAATCTCTCTGTAATAGCAAATTCGAGATAGAGAAGTGAGGGTAAGAACGAATGCTTTATTAAATAGGAATCTAGAGCCTTTCTATATGCTCTATGGAGCCAGCGGGGCCTGGTTGGGGAGCTGGTGGGCATGCGAAGTTGATCGCAGGTGTTCTGTGATCCGGCGCTTAATTTCGATAGGGTTCTTTCGGGTATAATACTGTGGCACTACCCTTACTAGCATCATTCGTGTCTTAAGACGATCTGTAGCACCATGTTTGTCTCTGACCGCCCTCTCGCTGGCTCTGTTTCTTAATTTTTCTTTTGTGTCGCAGCAAGACAGTATGACGGATACATTACAGGGCCAGCCAACTGGGCGAAGCATCAACTGAGTCAGGTGCTTATAAAAATACCTCGATGTTTTATATCTAAGCTATGTTGAAAAGTTTCTTCGTGCTTACTAGTCAATGTGAAGGTAGATAGGAAGGAGTCGTGAAGCGAGAAGGAAGGTTGCGGCGCTCAGCAGGGAATCAGGGCTACAAAAAAGGAAAAACAAAGAGAGGGAAATGAACGTGCAATTGAATGTTACCAGTTTGTCTCTCGAGTCAATTGACTCTGCGCATCTATCAGAACGATCTATCGCAGTTGTCCTCTCCACCAAAGCAGAGTATTCCCCGGGCCTGCCCGTAGAGCCTACGCAATAGTTGCTTTTATTTTTTTATTAACAAGGATCCTCAACGACATGGGATTTCCTGCGCAACAATTACCACACCTCATCAGTGGGTGTATTGGTACTAGTTGGCGCCAGCTAAAATCAATACACCCCTCATCAGTGTGATAAACACTGAAAACTGCTTGCTACAAAAACGATATCCTCCCCATTCCTTCATGATTGTCAACCGCCTCCTCGTTTGCAGGCAGTCCAGCAGTAGCAGACACCGTTCCATCATTGCATGTGCAGTTAAAGAATGTGCATTTATAGAAAATGCATATATGGAATTTCGCAAAATTGAAATATAAGAGTCTTATAAGCACGAAATATCGTATCCTAATTGGTCCAGTGGTCAGGATTCCTCGCTTTCACCGAGGCGGCCCGGGTTCGAACCCCGGATTGGGAACTATTCTTTTTCATCTTTGGATGATGATGAGGAGGGGCAAACGACGTTGCAGGTTTGCAGTTGAGTGATATGTCGCTTGTCACACCTTCCGCCATTCGCTTTTTTTTACTTTTTCCTTTTCCCTTTTTTTTTCTATTTTTCATCCCTCTTTCTTTTCTCTGACTCAATCTGTTTTCAAGTTGTGTCGATACGAACGTCCTAAAAGAGCAACGGAACAATACAAGTCAGGAATATCCGGCAATGTTTGGATTTTACACTCGTGCCTTGGCCAACTATCCCTTGCCCACACAGGCCGTGACAACAGGTAGTTTTTAAGGAAGTTAAGAGGGAGTCAGCTATGTGAGTTGAGTAGAACAAGGAGGCGACGCTGCATTTTGTCTCGATGCTGTGTTGTGTGCAGGTCGAGGTGGTCGAAAAAAAAAAAAAAAAAAAAAAAAAACCTAACAGTAAGTGAATGGTACCTGTCCAATTGCTTTTTTTCTGCCCCCTCTATCGTCCACCCCCAGGAATGCTGTTCGGCACCGGGGACCTGATAGCACATTTTTTTATCGAACAAAAGCCATCCATGAGACTGTCACCGTTTTTGGATTCTTCGTTGTCAAGCTGGGATAAGACAAGGACCGCAAGAATGGCGTTATTTGGAGCCGCCTTTGCTGGACCCGTGCTCCATCATTGGTACAGATTCCTAGACAGGACCATTCGCCTCTCGACACCCGTCCGGTCTTTGCTTGGCAGGGTGGCGGTCGATCAACTGTTTTTCGCGCCTTGCTTCATTGCCTCGTTCTTTATCGGCCAGGGTCTGTTGGCTGGGGCGAGTCCACAGGTCATTCGTGAGCGGCTGCAAAAGGTATGACGCGTTTATATTCATTATCTATGCAGGAAGATTATATTCAATGTTGTCGCATGGTTACTAGAAGAGTAAGGGAACCAACGAAGCAATATGGGCAACTGATCATAGGGATATCCTGGAGCGCTAAAGAGCAACTACATCGTTTGGCCTGCCGTCCAATGTTTCAACTTTTGGCTGGTGCCTTTACAGCATCGTCTGATGGTAGTAAACACGTTTGCTCTGGGTAAGCTTTCCTGCGCTTATCTGTCATTCCCTCTTATCAAACCCAGTCGTCTAATCATATCCAACCTCTCTACCTCTCTCTATCTTTAACGCACCAGGATGGAACACATATCTCTCACACGTCAACCAGACATCGCGTGAAGCTGTCCAGGCATAACAACAATAAAATCAATTCGTTCTCCGAGGAATGGCGTTGATGAATGGTTCATGAAAAAAAAATGTTTGATATGTACTATGTGTGCATGCTAATAAGCACCCGGATTGTTCTAGCTATAATTGTTGACACTGACGTCGCGCTTCATTGATCCTCCTCTGTCCTGTTTCCCCCACAATTTAATAACGGTGGGACTCCTCGGGCTCACGTCCACGCAAGAAGGGAATACCGGCCTCCTTCTGGTAGACATGGGTCCAGAAACTATCCAAATCGGGCTCAGGCGAGGCCTTGGACTCCTCGACAGCCTGATCGACCTCGGCGCGGGCAGCTTTATCGATGGCCTTCAGCTCATCCTCAGTGACCACATTGAACTCCAAAAGACGCTGCTTCAGCCCGGTGATGGGGTCGTTGTTAGAACGCATGTGCTGAATCTCCTCACGGGTACGGTAGGTGGTACCGGGATCGGACATGGAGTGGCCACCATAGCGGTAGGTCTCCATCTCGAGCAGAAGAGGACCCTTTCCAGAAGAAGTCCATTCCTTGGCGTAGGCGCAGGCCTGGTGAACAGCCAAGACATCCATACCATTGACCTGCGATAGGAAACAGAAATGATAATACAAGAATAAAGATTAATATGGTGTCGGGGACAAGATGAAGGAACGAAAATGAAAGCAGCAGGACAAACCGCCGTTTAGCGCACCTTCAAACCAGGGATGTAATCACCGCGCTTGAAGTACTGGGTGTTGGCAGAGGAGCGGTTGGCAGCAGTTCCCATTCCGTAGCGGTTGTTCTCGCAGACAAAGACAGCGGGGAGATCCCACAGCTTGGCCATGTTGTAGGCTTCAAAGACCTGTCCCTGGTTGGAGGCACCGTCACCATAGAGGGCAAAGGTGGCAGCCTTGTGACCGAGGTACTTTTGAGCAAAGGCAATACCAGCACCCAAAGGAACCTGGGCACCGACAATACCGTTGCCTCCAAAGAAGTTGGGTGTAAACATGTGCATGGAGCCACCCTTTCCGCCAGAGATACCAGCCTTGCGCCCAAGAAGCTCAGCCAAGATGGAGGTGATGGAACCGCCACGCATGTAAGTGAAGCCGTGGCAGCGGTAAGCGGTAATGATCTTGTCCTCCTCAGTCAGGGCAGTCTCCATGCCGACGGCAACGGCTTCCTGTTATCGTTCAAGTCCGATTGCAAAACAGAAAACAGAATGGAGATGAGGGGTGAGTTCACTGTACTTTACCAAAATAAGAGATATAAGGAAAGCGCGGCTATTGGTCCCAGCCAAGGCTTCCATCCGCATGAAATATACGCATTGTCTTTGTTACCTGACCAGTGCACAAGTGGCAGAAACCACGGATAAGCTTAGCCTTGTAGAGACCGTCGGAGGCCATTTCCATACGTCTCATGGTGACCATGCTCTTGTACATCCTGATAAGCTCCTCTTTGGAGATTTTGACGTCAAGCGAAGGAACATCGCAGTTGTAAGCCTCGAAGGACCCCTCGTGGAGGTTGATGCTGACGTTGCGGGCAACGGCGGACGAGGCAAAGGTGCGAACGGTCTAGCAGCAATAAGACGAAGCCGAGTGTCAATTGGTCAATGCCGCTAATACTAGTGACATGATAAGTGCAAGTGAAAAATGCCGACTGCTGGTGATCCCCGTGTGAAAAATCGCACTCGAGTGGTGTCTCCATGGTTTACAGGTAGCTCCACGACGCGTGAGCCCTAGTATCCAAAGGTGCTGGTTTTTTTTGGTTGGGGGAACAAAGCGCCTGATTTCTGCTGGACGCCACTGTTTTTTTTTTTTTTTTGTTTTTTTTGGGTAGATCTGTCCAGGGTGGCTCCTGCACCGTCGAGAGTGCAGTAATATTGGGGCGGTCAGACGGGTGTATTACCAATGGAGTGACGAAGGCCCTGGCGGCGACCTTGGCGAGGCTCATCTTTGGGGCGGAAAACATGGTGTGGTGTGTATGTGAAGAAGAGAGCGAGCGAGCGATGGAGAGAGGATGGAGAGGATGAATGAAAGAGAGAGAGAGAGAGAAAGAAAGAGAGAGGAGGGGGAAGAGAGGGAGGAAGAGATATGCGGGTAGAGTTGGGTGGGGTTGTCGTGGTTGGGTGAGCGGGTCTTTTTTTTTTTCCACGACCGCCCAAAAAATAAATAAATGGACACAGATACTGGCAGAGATAAGATGCGTCGTGTGGAGGAAGGCGAAATCATATTTGAGCACACGCACGACTCCCCTCTGATGAACCCCTCTCCCTCGCGGGCATTCTTTTCCAAGAGCAGTGTCGACTACCCGCAGAGCAGATTATGGTTCAATAGATTGTTTTTTTTTTATTTACGTTCGCCGACCCATCCTCTACCCTCTCCTCGCGCAGGCTGAGTTTCGATGGGACTATTCGTCCACACTGATTGCGATGGGCTGGGCGATAAGGTTGCTGGTTCCCTTCCCTCTGATGGATAAAGACATAAAGACAGGCATCCAGCGCACAGAGGGGCACGATGGCTGTTGACAGCGGGCCAGCCTATGGAGGCAGCAATACACCCATGTCAGAACGACCTGCGACTCTCTTTTTTTATAAAAGTCGTTGTTCAAGTGCCCGACCGGTGAACTTGAAATAAGAATAAAAACGCGGGCATCCTTCTCAATCCGAAAGAAGGGCCAAATATGTGCAATCAAGGGAACTTTTCGCGTGGAGTGTGTAGTACATCCAAACTTTAGGTTGCTGTCCCTCGGATGCTCTCGTGGGTTTACAGGCATCTGCAACTGCTACAACTGTTTGCTCTTCCTGGTTTGCCCGCGTAGGTATCCGACGCGTTTCTGCCGGCTGTTCCTGCGCCTAGCCGCTTACCTCCCCTTAAAGACCATCCCAGCGAGGATGTTCAAGCCTTGGACAACAATCGTCACTTCCTCGTTACGCTCTTCTCTCCTTTCCGACGACATGGCAGCAAGAACTCGACATAAAACGGCTCAAAGTAAACTACCAGCACTGCTTCTGTTAATATGGCTTCGTTAGCCTCCTCAGCTTCCCAAAGGTAGATCAACCGCACATGCCCCAGTACGGCTCGTCATTAATATTCCGGCCCATTCCAGCAACAAGTCCTGGCTGGCAAACGATGCACCACTATTGTTTAATAACATATACAGGAGTGGCACCTGAATCTAGTTAGAGTACAGCATGAGCGACTTGAAAAGCCAGTATTGAGTTGAGAATGCGAGGATATAGAGCATTAAGGGAGATAGTCTATGTCCGAATGAGTGCATACCAGAGAGGCAACATTGTGCACAAAATGCATGTAGTTTTTTTTTTGGTGGCGTCTTATGGTTCTACAGTACATCCTTATTGCCACGCACGAGTCTTGTTTGTATACACACACTCAAACCTTCGCTGTGTGGTGACGGTCGGTCATAGTGATGGATGCCTTCAAAATCCACACATCCACGCCATGTGTCTTTCTAAAGGAGGGAAGGGGGAAGACGAGGTCGATGGTGAGTGGACAGTATGGCTGTCAGGCAGGCAGTACAGCGGTCCTCACGTACAAAGTAGGCAGCAGTAGACTGTGCGTTTTCCCTCCATTTTTTTGTGGTTTACACCTTCACTCTTTCTTCTCTCTCTCTCTCTCTCCCTTACACTCTCTTCATTCATATCCCCCATCTCTTCTCCCACAACGACCCAAGACACCACCCGCACAAAAAAAACCTCATCTCACTCTCTCCCATCCCACAGCTCCCATTCACACTCGCAATCACTCTAACACCCATACACCCCCACACCCCCACACCCCCACACCCCCACACCCTCACTCACTCACATACACCATGCAGACCATAAAGTGCGTCGTTGTCGGAGGCAAGTTACATACTCTTCTCGCCCTTCCTTTCCCTTGTAACCCCTCGTCACCCTGACCATCACCGCCGCTTTATTCGCTCCAAGGCACTGCACTGCACTACACCTACATTACACACAAACACCCTCTACTCGCTACAACGAGCTACTTTTTTTGTGTGTGTGTTTTCTGTTAGTTCCCTCTCATATTTCTATGCCAAATAGTTCTACTAACAATCTCCTCTCTGTGCGTCTTTTATTGCATGCAATTGCATTCGACTTCTCTCTTCTACAGATGGTGCCGTTGGCAAGGTAACTGAGCCGTTTTATCTTTCTCAGAGGACACCAGACAGGCCGTTATCGAACAAAACGGAGTTCAGCAGTGCCAACAGCCAAAAAAAAAAGAAAAAAAAAAAAAAAAAAGGCAACGGCGATAACGCGGACTGCAGCACAGGAGGCGGCTCATTCGGCAACCAAGTAAACGAGCAGATGTTTCTAGAGCGACAACGAGCTGAGCACTGCACAGGACTAGAACAAGGGCGCCAACTACCGCAAAAGAACGTTGACAATGGACAGTTGCCTCGCCCAGACGCTCTGACGCTCGTTACGGAACAGCTTTTAGAGGGACCGGATTTATTGGCCTACTTGGTCGGTTCTCAAGAAAATTTGCTTACCACCATCTTTCTGTTGTCTTCACGTTAGACATGTCTCCTTATCTCGTACACCACCAACAAGTTCCCTTCTGAATACGTCCCCACAGTAAGTCCTGAGCCTATTATTCCGCCTTTCTCGGCTCTACTTTGCCTCTATATCTTTCGGCTGTGGGTTGTCCGCCGCACGTTGTTTGGTGGGCCATGCTTTTCTGGTTCAGGAGTCTCTTCTCTCCAGTTCCTTCTTTCTCCTTCATGTTCGGGTCCCAGGGACGAAGCAACATACGCATGTCATCTCACTCGCGCGTCCTTAATCCTGCCCCCTTTTTGTCCACCTTCGACACTTTGGCGGGGGTCCAGTTTTCTATGGTTACGGATTCTATTGTGCACAGGATGAGAGACTATGTCCTGGAATCTGCTCTGCTTTTATGATCCTCGGGGACGCATGTGCTTGTTTCCTCTATCCTCAAGTCTTTACCAGACAGCTTTTATCGCATGAATGCACTCCTCCGGATCGCATTGTTGACCAGGCACGCTTTGCTTGTAACCACTATGTACTCTAGGTGTTTGACAACTATGCTGTCACTGTCATGATCGGGGATGAGCCCTACACCCTTGGACTGTTCGATACTGCCGGTAAGTTGGAGGCGCTGCTGCCTGGGCTGCTTTGTTCGCGCATCCCGTGTCATGTCATGTCATGCACCTGGGGATATACAATATTGCCCCTTGTTTTTATTTTTTAACATTTCGACTGACCCGCTCCTTTTTTATTTATATGAATGAATGATGACATGTTGTATACAGGTCAGGAGGATTATGATCGTCTGCGCCCGCTCTCGTACCCCCAAACGGATGTGTTCCTTGTCTGCTTCTCCGTCACTTCACCAGCGTCGTTCGAGAACGTGAGAGAAAAGTGGCTACCAGAGGTCCACCATCACTGTCCTGGAGTCCCTTGCTTGATTGTCGGTACACAGGTGGATTTGCGCGATGACCCAGCTGTTGTGGAAAAGCTGGCGCGTCAGAAGCAGAGACCTATTTCGGCTGAGAACGGCGAGCGGTTGTGCCGTGAACAGAATGCTGTCAAGTACGTCGAGTGTTCGGCCCTGACTCAGAAGGGATTGAAGAACGTATTTGATGAGGCGATTGTCGCTGCGCTCGAGCCCCAGGTCGTGCGAAAGAAATCAAAGTGCTTGATCTTTTAAGTGGCAGGATTCTTCGTCAGGAACCAAAGTGTACAATGGAGTGGATCGTGTCGTCTGTTTGTCTTTTCGGGAGGCACTCTAGAAACGGCTTGCGAGGTCCACTTTTGATGCACGACAATGCCCACGAAGAAGTTAAAAATATAGTGGAAACATCATTCAGTAAATAATACTCTTATACATACGACATTCTCCCCCACTCTCTATGCAACGTGTCAACCGGTTGATATTCGGTGCCTGGAGTCCTCTGCTTCAAAAATCAGTTATTGGTGGCAACAATCGCAAATGCTGTGACATGACGTCTTTTTTCTCGGACCAGGGCCTCCGGATCAGCAAACACATCCAATGGCCGAGTTCATTGTCATCCCTCTCCACCTGTCTGTTCATCGCCGGTATACCTCCCCCTCTCTCTCTCCTCGCCGCCTTTTGTACAACATCTTTACCTAGTTTATCACTATGTTGAGCTTTATCGCAGATCTGTTCCCTGCCGTTTACGCTGAAGAAAAGCGGGAGGATACCGCTTCTGCTGCCGCCGAGGAGCAGGAGGAGGCGGCTGAGGTTCCCGCAGCTGAGGAGGAAGAGGAGGAGCCAGAGGATATCAAACCCACTATCGAGGAGGGTATGTTTTTCATTCGAAGTCATTGTAGATCCTGAGCGACTCACACTGGGCCCTATGATATGGAGGAACGTATTCGTATGTGCCATGGCGACATCGTTCAGCTTTTGTATTTGAATTCACTCAGCGCGCAGCATTCAATGGCTCGACTATTCGCGTGCATTAAGTTTCAGGAGGGAAGCAAGGAGCAATGTCGCAGCAGGATTCAGCACTTTACAATGCGAAGCAGGATATGGGTTGCGCTCATGAACACGCCAGCGTGACGATCGAGACTTTGTCAACCAACTGGGATTGACAACATCGATGGATTTGACCGGTAGCCTGTCTCGACAAGAGCATCATCAGTTGACGCATTCTTCTGCCTTCTATGCTCGTTTATTTGATGTTGTGGATAGCCTGCGGCGAGACCTCTGCGTGTGCGCCACTGAAACACCACCTGGACGAGTGCACACGCCGTGTTCAGGGAGAGGGCGCGCACGAGGACTGCATTGAGGAGTTGTACCACTTCTTGCACTGTGTTAACGAATGCGTAAGGACGGTTCACTTCTTGATCGCGTATTGAAAGACGTCAATTGCTTAGAACGTAGAACTAACATATCTCTCTTTTTGCATTCTTTACGCGTCGACCATAGGCCGTTCCTAAATACTTCGACAAACTTGTCTAGATCACCTCATTATTCCCATAAAGCATAAATATATCTGCAAAGCAATCGTTAATTACGAGTCTTGAAAATGTACTGTATTGAAGGAAAAAAAAAAAAAAAAAACTGTGCTTCAACCTGAACTTCTTACCAGTAGACCGAGGCTGTGCTTCTGTGCTTTACGGGGAGAACAGCAGCGGATGAACAACATGCCGGACTACTGTAGGCTAGGGGCACCTTGGGCGCATGCCATTCGCTCCCTCTCCTCTCCCCACACGGACCGAGCCCAAAACTTTAAAATGTTTGCGGGCAGCGCGATCCGTAACATGACTGGCCGCTTCCCCTTCTTTTTAAAGAACAAGCACTCAACCCACAACGCCCGACACACATTTTTCATTCGACCTTCTTTCCATCGCTGGAATCCCTTTACCAAGACTCTCCTTCGCTCGTTTAGCTTGCACACCTCACACCCCCTACTGTTTGCTGCGCGTGAATCTCAACGGTCCTACAGCACCATTCCAAGCAAATTTTATTCGACAAAACTCGATATCTTACATAATGTAAGCACGAGGGGTAACAGGATTTATCAAGGGAACTGTTCAATAGCAGCTTGTTCACCAATTGATCGATAATCTAGGCACATTCAAGGAAAGAACTTCATCGTCACTGGAGGAAGCTCGGGTCTTGGTATGTACCTGTTTTCCGTTCTCATTCACCAATGATTACATCCGATGCTCGGCTCATAAAAAGGTGACATTCTAATGCGGATCGTCGTCTACCGTACCGTTTTAATTACTCAAGGCGAAGCGACTACCCGGGCTATCGTAGAGAAGGGCGGCAAAGTAATCATTTTCGACATCAACGAGGAGCGCGGCGAAGCCATTGCGGCCGAGTTGGGCAGCTCAGTCCTCTGGCCTGGCGCAACGGATATCGCAGGCGAGGACTCTGTCATTGCTTCGATGGAGAAGGGCGTGGAGAAGTTTGGAAAGATCTCGGGAGTCATCAACTGTGGAGGCATTGGCATGGCTCAAAAGGTATGTATAGAAACGACAGAAATTTGTCGTGATCAATGGTATGCATTGTTTTTGCGAAACGTCTCTTTAAACTGACATTTTGATTTAATGGACGAGCGTAGATCGTGTTCAGGAATGGCGAGCCCCAGCCTCTGGACATCTTTCAGGAGGTTGTGAGGATCAATTTGGTTGGAACCTTCAATGTTTGCCGACTGGTTGCTGCCCATATCATTGCTAATATCAAGGCGTCGTCCGAAAAAGAAGGTAAATGACAAGGCGACATTCGATCTACGCGTCAGGTTATGGACCTGTCCGATTGATCTCTTACATATGCCGTATTGCTTGAGTAGAGGATCCCGGGGTTATCATCAACGTCGCTTCGATCGCGTACACAGAGGGGTATGTATCTGGGGACTCGGTTATTATCTACTCTTCATACTCTGCTCAATATGTTTATCGAACCCTGTGTTGTTCCTCATGCAACATAGACAGGCTGGCCAAACCGCGTACTCTGCTTCGAAAGGTAAGATCCCTCTTCGCCCGTATCCGCCTTGCCTAGCCCTCCCTTTTTCGCTCACTGGCTGACCCTCACTGCTCCTCACTCTTCATTTTCTTAATTAGGAGGTGTCGCGGGTATGACTTTGCCAATGGCCCGCGACTTGGCTGGCCAGGTCCGTGTCTGCACCATCGCTCCGGGATTTTTCGGTAAATTTTTGGCTTTCTAGACCAACATTGCATCCTGTACCCAATAATCATATCGTTTTGCTAATGCTCTCCTGTTCGACTCTGCTAGGCACTCCTATGGGTAATGCTGTCAAAGACTCGAATCTTGAAAAGCACATGGTTCATCCCTACCGTATGGGTAAGCCAAGCGAATTTGCTCATCTCGCCTGCGCCATTATCGAAAACCCAATGATGAACGGCGAAATTATTCGTATCGATGGTGCTGTCCGTCTCGGAAAGCTGTAAGAGCAGCCCCGTCAATCACCCCGGTCTGTAAAGAGTAAAGAAACCACAGAACGTCACCCAGTAAAACTTTTAAATTGCGATAGCATTGCTTTTGCTTTATTTCTTCCTCTTTGAGGCACGACCCCACACTTTAACGCTAAAGTCTGCAGATCCTGAGGCCAAGACATGGTCGATCGGATGGAAGTCTACGTCGTATACACGATCTGTATGACCAGACAGCTTCTGAAGCAGGTCGTATTGACCATCGCCTGCGCCAACATCAAACAAGTACACGTATGGGTCCATACTGCCCGACGCAAGAATAAGACTAGATTCTAGAGGGATGTCTTTATCAGACAGAATTGACTGTGGTTCATCTCCATCTGCGCCCCGAACCTTGCCGGACCGTCTGGTAGCAGCCCCTGCAATATCTAAATGTGTAACATGAAGAGATCGAGGCGTTAATGGCTGCACTGGCGACATCTGTCTCTCAGGAGGCGAGATCAAAACGAGGGTACTTACATTCTTTTCCGTGAAAGAACGCGCTCTTGATGGGCCAATGCTTGTTCCTGTAGCCCTTCAAGGAGTGGATAAGGCGAGGAACAGTCGTTGGGGGCTCAAACCCTCTGTCATATACCCGAATTACTACAATGGATACAGCGAGTGGCAAATGAGTTAATAGCTATAACTCCATGGGTATATAATTTTGTCCGGCAAATGTTGCAGGCGAACAACTACCCATACCATTATCATAACTATTGACAGCGAGCCAGCGAGACTCCTGTTCTTCCGTGTCCGCAATATTTGTCTCTTCTATCGATCCACGCTGTTTAGAAACTGCAATATGCGAAATAGGGCTCTTTGTCGGCTCGTTTAAGATCGACTGCAATACCCTGCCCATTCTCATGTCCCATGTCTTGAGATATCCTGAAGAGTCACCCGAAATAACCGTCAACCCGTCGTGGTATACATAGCTGTATCGCACAATAAACATAGTCAGCATACAGAGGAAGTGATATTATGTGAGCATCCTTAGAAACCCAGGATCAACAAAAAGAAAAAAAAATCAAAGCGGCCCTTACATTGAATTGACCATGGCGTCATTTTTGATGGTAATTGGTGGTCCTGACGGAGCGCTGCTGTCTTTTCTGGTGTCGATCATGCTCAGCATGTTGCGCGTCGTTCCATTGAAAAATATACTATTGTCTTTGATGTCAAGTGGAAGCCAATATGTCAGTTGAGAGTCCTTTGAATTGTCTTTAATACTGTTCAGCGCAGAGGCATTAATAAGTTGGTGTACTTACCATGGGGATGGAACCGCACGCATTGGACAAAACCTTCGCCCTCAAAGCTATCCAGTAGATTTCCTGACTCAACATCCCACAGTTTGCAGGTCTTGTCGTAGGCAGCCGACAGCAAGAGGGACGAATCATGGCCCCATGCGAGATCTGAGATATTGAGTCCATGACCTTTGAGCACATATAGCTAGTTGATCGAGGAAAAAAAGATCGTTTAGTACCTTTCTGCCCAATTTTTTTTGTCTGCGTTCTGTGCCACTAATTTCACTGCTGCCGATTGCGTGTACCTCATTCTGGTTTGTGGTGCCATCCCAGATCCTTACGGTCTTGTCGAACGAGCCGGTTGCGAGGAACTTTCCATTGGGCGAGTATTGGACTGCATAGACCGCTCCTTGGTGTCCTTTGAGATCGTTCTTTAGGAAGAATTGTCTGCCGTCAGATTTTGATGCCCCATCCTGTCTCGAGACTACAATTCAGGAAATAAAGCAACTATGAGTCTTTTTTTTGCTCACCTCACGATAAGAGGGATTAATGTGCCTAGCAGCAAAAGCTGCTATCAATTGCTCGAAACATCCGAGTATCCAAACTCACCAATGCTTCCCATGTTCAACCGTCGCACGCCTTCTTCCTCGACTTTGATTAGATCGGCGGCGCTTTTGAGTTTCGCATCCAGGTCTCGTGAGCTGGGATCTGAGCCACTGGCTGTATTGGGTGTTCCTGCCTCGGCTCCCTGTTTCTGCTGGGTTACCGACATGCTAGACAAGAGCTGACCCACTGCCAAGGCCATGTCGCTGTGAGCGTCGTCGTCATGTCGATAGGAGGATGTTCCTACTATGTTGTCCGTATCGTCGTCGGTGGCGGCGCTATTACTGTTGTTGTTGCTGTTTGACGACCGATTCTGTTGTCCATTGTGCTGGGCTTTTCCGATATATGCAGAGTATATGTAAGACAGCTCGTAAAGACTCTTCTTGAGGGCCTTGTTCTCTGCCTCGAGAAGGTCGATCTTTGCCTTGAGTGACTTTGTCTCACGCACGAGTTTTTCGACCGCAGGGTCGACTTGTTGGGACGATGACTGATGACCTGCGACATTGGAAGACGACATTGTCGTGCGGACTCGAGGGTGTTGGTGATGCCAAAGAGTCGTCGGCGCTCACTATTCCCGAAAAGCACACTGTGGGCGAGTGCGAGAAGTTGATGTCATGTGATTACGTGTCTGTCCTATTCACTGTTTCTTGAGAGTTTGTAAGATGGCGCTCCAAATGCCAAGCTATTGAACAGGAGCGAGCCAACCAACTTATGTTCCTGGTGTTCCCCTGTGAAATCTTTCAAAAGTCAAGAATGCTTGATTGTATTCATCCGCAGATTTCATGGATATGGTAAATACAAAATGCCATAGAATACTGCATCTTCTTCTGTAGGATTGTCACTCTCTCTCTTTTTTTTTCTTTTTTTTTTGTCGAAGCAAGGAGGCGGTCTGGTATGCTCGTTTTTTTTTTTTTTTTTTTTTTTTCAAGTGCACAGAATCATGTACAGTAGCACAAAATTGTACGTCATTCGCCCCGCCAAAGAAAGTTGCGTGGTTTACGAAAGAAGACCTCGGCTCTCGTTTTGCTCCTTTTCTCCTACCTTGCTGCCACCAAATCCACCTATTCGGCAAGACGACGCACCGCTTGCTGTACAGACCACGAGCTATCCGCCATTGACCTCCTACAGCACCTTGCAAAATCCCTCAACTCTCAGACTCTCCTCATCCTCTGCGCGCTCTTTCTCGCCTTCGAATATCTTTACGCCAAAATGGTAAGTTGGGAGTTGTGCAGGCCTATACTTACTCGTTATGCCAAACCTGCCGCCCCCAATGGATGATACCAGCACAATGACAAGTCTGCCATTGAGCTTCAGCTTGTCGAATGGGCAAAGTCCAAGGATCACTGTGCTTAAAACTGCCCCTCTCGACACAAACTACGTGCCATGTGCCAAGAGGTACAAGAATCGAATGGTGTTCAGGAACTGATGCAAACTGTCAATCATTGTTCACAATCAATAGGAAGATCAAATAGACGTTAAACTCGAGCGTACTTCTCCGGTAGAAGAAAAACCACCCGTCCCTGCTGAAGAGCTCCACTCTGTTAACGATGGTACGTAGACGCATACGCACACCTTTTTCTAAGCGCAGTCGTCGAGGACGCCCTTATTTTGTTTTGGCAGTTTTATCCCAGTGGAGTGAGACATACTGCTATGTCGCGTGCGAAAAAAAAAATGCATTCACTAGAAAAATGGATTATCGAAGGCGCCATGGATTACTAACAAAGGTTCCAATGTCTTGCTGCTAACAGTGGAGTGGATCACAAGGAAGTTGATCCCAATTTTGCCGGACCAGGAGGAGCGCGCCTGCGAGATCTTCCAGTGGGATATTAAGGATTGGAAAGCATTGGACAAGCGCATGACTGGACCCGAGTTCGAGATCGGCGGTTACAAATGGCAAGTGCGAGCAGTGCGCACTCCATGGTATCGATGACGCATGAAATGGAAACTGACCATTGTTATGATAACAATGACACCTCTAGGCGTATTCTTCTCTTTCCTCAGGGTAACAATGTTCCTGAACAAGTGGCCGTCTATCTGGAATCTGCTGAACCACGGGAGCAACAGGACGCCAACTGGCACATTTGCGCTCAGTTTGCACTGCTCATGTCCAACCCGAATGATCCAACTGTTTACGTCTCACACTGTAAGAATAGCACGCTTCTGTTTTTTACTAGCATTCGCTTCTCCATTGCCGACAGTACTATTAAGACTGACTTGCATTGTTCAATGACTCGATGTGATAATAGTTGCCCATCACCGATTCACTGTCGAGGAGGCCGACTGGGGATTCACCCGATTCACCGATATTAAAAAGCTGGAGATTCCATTGGACCATCGCGGATTGCCGCTGGTTGACAAAGGCCACACCGTCATCACTGCATGCGTCAGGGTTTACAATGATCCAACAGGCGTACTCTGGCACAACTTCATTAACTATGATTCCAAGGCGATGACAGGATATGTTGGCCTGAAGAACCAGGGCGCAACTTGCTATATGAACTCGCTGCTACAATCACTTTTCTTCACCAATTACTTCCGCAAGGCTGTATACGACATCCCAACAGCAGACGATGAGCCCTCCAAGTCTGTTTCCCTCGCCCTCCAACGGGTCTTCTACCAGCTCGCCACCAGTAACAACTCTGTCGGAACCACCGAGTTGACTCGATCGTTTGGATGGAATTCATTGGAGAGCTTTATGCAGCACGACGTCCAGGAATTTAATCGCGTTCTTCAGGACAATTTGGAGGGAAAAATGAAGGTGCGTTTCATCTGTGCTCTCTTCTCGAAAAGACTTTTTATACGTACAGCTCAAGATGACTAATGTCTGGTTTGGCTATGGTATGACAGGGCACGGCTGCTGAGGGCGCCATCCAAAAGCTCTTTGTCGGCAAGATGAAGAGCTATATCAAATGCATCAATGTTGACTATGAATCATCCAGAGTGGAAAACTTTTATGGTAATGCTCATTTGCATGCATGGGGCGTGTCAGCTAAAGGATGCGGTCTGTTTGTCGACAACAGGATTGACATGGGATTGTTGTTTTCGATCTATCTACTAGATATTCAGCTGAATGTCAAGGGCTGCAAGACGCTGCGCGACTCATTCGCGAATTACATTGATGTCGAAACTCTGGACGGCGAGAACAAATACCAGGCGGAAGGTCATGGACTGCAAGTACGTTGTGTGGCGTGTTCGAGTCCTTGATGCAAGCAGCTGCCGTACACTGGGTTACTGATATATGACCATGTGCATTTATTTTAGGACGCAAGGAAAGGAGTCATATTCGAGACGCTTCCACCGGTTTTGCATCTTCAGCTGAAGCGTTTCGAGTACGATATTGAGAGAGATGCTATGGTGAAGATCAACGACCGACACGAATTTCCTCTGAACGTGGACTTGGCTGATTTTGTTGCGGAGGGAGAGGAGAAGCAAAAGGCTGGCCCGGACGGATTCAAGTATACATTGCACGGGTAAGTCTTTTTTATCCCCTTTGTATTTCCTCTTTTCGGTCTTCCATCATCGCGGGCATGGCCTTGCTGAAATGGCGACTACCATACTGATTGCTATTTTCTTGACCATTATAGTGTATTGGTGCACTCTGGGGACTTGCACGGCGGCCACTACTTTGCATTGCTCAAGCCTGAACGCGATGGCAAGTGGTACAAATTCGACGACGACCGTGTCACAATAGCGACGATGAAGGAAGTCCTAGATGAGAACTATGGTGGCGGAGAGCCATTGGAGAATCTTACAGGAATGACCGTCGCTATGCGTCAAATGAACCGCCACAAGCGCTTCACAAACGCCTACATGTTGGTTTACATTCGCGACAACGCCATGGACGAGGTTCTCAAGCCTCTTACTCCCGCCGATACACCGGAACATCTGCAGCGTCGTTTGGAAGATGAGCGTATTGTCCTGGAGAACAAGCGGAAGGAACGGGATGAGTCACTGCTTTACTTCAGCGCACGCGTTATTTCGGATGTCGATTTTGCAGCTCACAGCGGATTTGATCTGTTCAGCCCACTTTTGCCGAATGCTGGAAAGACCCTGAAAGTGAGGAAGCTGGATACGTTTGCCACCTTCAGAGAGGTGGTAGCAAAGAGCTATGGACGTACTGAAGAGCAGATCCGAATCTGGACCTTGGTGAAGCGACAGAATGACACTGTTCGTACCGATCTCTCTATCCCAGATTCGGATTTGAATGCCAGTAAGTGACCCTGTATTGATGATTCACGGTCATCGTAGTGTCTCCTGTGTGCTGTTGCTCACTTCATCCTCGCTCTTATTTCGTCTGGCACTTTAGCAATGGAATTTATCAAAGAAAAGTACGGCACCCGTGCCCAACCTGATCTGAAGTGCTATGTGGAATTCATTGACCAGCCCTCAGGATCACCCAACAGCAAGCCCGCGCCATTCTCAAACGAGGTTCAGAATGGTTCCATTATGATCTTCACCAAGTACTACGATCCATTCTCAGCCAAACTGGAGTACGTATCATCAACTAAATATTTGATGACTATGAATTAAATGCGGTGGCAGTCCCAGATACTTATGTACCGTTCTCTGCTCATTCCTGGGTCTATAGGGGCGTTGGAAAGCTTTATGTCCAAAAGACAGCAAAGGTCGGCGATATTGTGCCCATTTTGAACGAAAGGAAGGGCTTCCCTGCCAACACGCCTTTGAAGCTTTTTGAGGTATAGCAGACACCCACGCAAGCCGTATTTTGGAACCAAAATACATTATGAAATACGGTGCTTGTTGAGTTTCTTTGCTTACTTGCATTTTCTTTTTTCTTTTTTTAATTATTCGCACAGGAAATCAAACCTACGATGATCGAACCCATGAAGATGAAGCTGACTTTCCATCAGAGTGAAATCCAAGGAGGCGATATCATTGTGTTCCAGAAAGAGTTGACACCGAAAGAGTATGTATCAAGGCTGTGATGCAAATGGCCAAACCCCTTATTCTTTCAACTGACAAACCTATATTATATTGTTAATAGAGCCAACGATCTTCGAGAGCAGAATGCAAAGGCTTCGATTCCTCAATACTTTGACTACATTTACAACAGGGTTGTAGTAGACTTTAAGCCAAAGAATGACGAGGACGGAACTCTTCAGACTTACTCGATCGAACTGAGCAAGAAGAGCACCTATGACCAAGTGGCACAGAAGCTATCTGAGAAATTGGGAGTGGATCCTCTGCATATCCAGTTTACGTCTGCATCTTCGCCCAGTGGCCTTCCAAAGAACACAATCAGGAGGGCGACGAATTTGCACTTACAGGAGATGCTTTCACCAAGCTATGTCCACCAGGCTGTTTCTCAAAACATTCTGTATTACGAGAAGCTGAACATCAGTATCGTGGAGCTCGAGAGCAAACGTTTGGTGAAGGTGACATGGCTCGGCCCCACCATGAAGGATGAGGTGGGATGCACATTAAGAATAGGTTGCCTTTTCGATGGCTTTGGCTTCGAGAGTATCTTTCTCATACTAATGTCGTTATCCTTTTCTGGTCCAATAGTCGACGCACGAGCTGCTGTTGCTCAAGACTAGCACGTTGAGCGCACTAGTGGACGCTCTTCTTCAGAAGGTGAAACTGGATCCGAACGGAACCCAGAAGTTACGCACGTTCGGTGTGTTTAACGGAAAGCCGATCAAAGAGTATGGACCCTTGGACCCTATCAGTTCTATACACGACTCGCTCCCAATTTATGTTGAGCAGATCCCAACGGATGAACTTGATCGCAAGGACGATGAGCAGATTATTCCATGCTTCCATTTCCAGGGCGATGTGTCTCGTACGCATAGCATCCCATTCCGGATGGTCATCAAGGAGGTATGCAATCTTTTACATCTATTTATTTACTGCTTTGACGATGTCTCCACTTTATTATGATCGGCTTTCCTGCTTTGCTGAGATGTTTTTTTATTAATATATTTAAATCCACAGGGCGAACCGTTCAGCGAACTGAAGGCACGCATCCGTGCAAGACTCGGTATGAACGAGAAAGATTTTAGCAAAGTCAAGTTTATCTTGTACCAGTCCACCAACAAAATTAGTGCCTTGAATGACGGTAAGAATGGCTCTATGACTCTTTATTTGCTCGTTCATCTCTCTATGTGATACATTTTGGTGCTCATTGTATCCCTTTCGATTCTGCAATGAACAGATGATATTCTTTCGGACGCGGAACTTGGACCAGGAGATGCCATTGGTTTAGATCATATCGACAAGAGCGGAAGGAGCAACCGTTTGGGACTAGAGAAGGCCATTACCATCAGAGGATAGAGCGCCGCATTACCTCTGAAGAGAAAGGCGAAGAATCTGCACTAGAAGAAATGAAGGAGCAGAAGAACCCCTAATAAATCCGCAACAGAAAAAAAAAAATGTAGCTATTACGAGCAATTGCCCTTTATTTATCATGGCGAGCGGCGAATGGGTGAACTGTAAAGTGCAGGGCTGTCGTCGTTGTCGCTACCGTGATAGCTGGTAGCCTCTTCGATGTCTTCATCCAGATCACGTCCATACCCTTCATTCTGCTCTAGCTCTTCTTCGAGCTCTTCTTCGTGGCCGTCGTATGAACCTTGTGTGGGACTATATGGGGCATGGACATGGCTCATGTAATAGCCCTGGTTTATATTGCCCTGGGTAGGGTCGTGGTCGTGGTCGTGGTCATGGTCCTGGTCATGTTCCTGGTCTCGATCATTATCGCCTTCCAAGGTCACTGCTTCGTCCTCTTCGTCCTCTTCACCTTCCTCTTCTTCTTCTTGCTCTTCTAAATCCTGTGGAGAGAATGACGTAATGCAAGAATGTCAGGCAACAGGTGAGTGGAGAAAAGTTGTAGAGTAATTGACCTGAGAAAAAAAAAAATACTGCGACATCCTTGGAGGATCCTTACAAGAAATGGTTTTGATAACCCGACTGGGATAAAATGCATGCCCGTTAGACTGGTTTCCCGTTGCTAAAGCATTGAGGCGAGGCGAAGCGA